CTATGCCGCGTGCGTGCAGAACAGAAACGCCTGCCGTGCCAGCCTCACCAGCCTGACCGTCGAGCCGGACAAACAAGTGAGAAGCAACACCGTGTGCTGCTGGACCAGCAAGTGCAACCAGCAACTCACCCTGGCTGGTAGGCACCCGGCGCAGCCCCGCCCGGCCCAGTGACTGGGAACGGCTCAGCCAGGAGCTTCCGGGCACTGATCCCCAGCCGCTTGGCTGCTTGAATTCGATGGAAGGAGGGAGGGACCTGGGCCCCCGTGACAGGCCTGGAGAAGCTGTAACCAGACGGGGCACTTGAACGGGCTTGGCTAAACTCCTCGGTGGGCCCGCTCCGTCGGGACTAAGTGGCCTCGATTCAGTCGGGTTGATGCACGTTGGAGAAAAATAAAGAATTCCTGCAGCAGCCTCTGCACAGAGCCGGGTGGCGCTGGCCACGGCCGGAGAGCAGGATGCTGCGGGAATCCAGAGGCGAGGTCACGAGACCAGTGTGCCCTGTCAGCTGAGCGCTTGGGCGGCCCCACAGGAGAGAGTCAAATGCCTCCCCGCTGATTAGCAGACTGAGCAGAGCCCAAGGCCTGTTCCTATTAGTGGTGCACACGCCTTGGTGCACAGACCAAAATTTATTCCACACATATGGTGGGGGAAAGAGGGCACATTAGAGACACTGGAGAAGTGTAGCCGTGCGAATGGATAGGTCAGTCGATTCACTCTCAGGAGCCTCTTTATGTCCTGAACTTGCGACCCATGGTGCTTTCTCCAACTGTCCCCAGTGCCGCAGAGAAGCGCGCAGAACAGCCGGCAGTGCCCAGCCTGTGTGGGGGAGACAGCGGAGCAGTGCAGGAGCGACGCCAGGGTCTCCTGCTCGGGCCCTGAAGACCGTTGCTTTGACTTTGCGGGGACGCTCGGTAATTCCTCCAATCGCAGTGTGGCCGGAGCTCGGGGCCTGGGCCGTTGCTGCAGCACGGCCGAGACCCACAATTCCCGACCCCTGGAGCTGGCGCCGTTCACCACCCGACACGGCTCTTTTCACGGATCCGTGCCTCTGCTTTTCGGCACCGCAGGGTCCTGAGAGTGGGCACCTGGAGCCCTGGGGGTTTCTGGGTTGTCCCGGCTCTGGGGTGGGAGTGAGGGCCGGCGGGTCAAAGCAGTTGAGGCCAGTGGAAGCATTTTGGGAATCTGTCGAATTTGTCAATTCTCTTCTGCCCTGAAGCCCCCCAAGGATCAGACTCCAAAGCCCATTTCTGTCGGGTTTTATAGCTTACAGAAGCCCCCGTAAACCCCCGAAAGATTTCCCGTCAGCCCGGACGCCACGCGGCTGTCACTGCTTGCAGCTCCCCAGAGCCCTTCATCTGGGGAAATCGGGGCTTTCAGTGACGTGCCAGGCTGGGAACGGACTCCCCGAAGGGGCTCTCGGCAAAGCTCTGCCGCCCAGGCGGGCATGGGGGGGAGGAGAAGGCCGGAGCTGCCTCCAGTCTGACCCTGTTCATTCCCGTCCGCAGTGAACTCCACCACCACGCAGGTCTGGAGAGGCTGCGCGACCGAGAGCATCTGTCAGCTGCAAATCAACGAGACCTTCTTCTACTCCAACCAGACCTACACGCTGACCAGCACCCGCTGCACCAACAGGGCCCCTCCCACCGTCACTCAGGCCCTGGCGTCCTCCCCGCTGCTGGCCGGGCTGCTCCTGCTGAGACAGCTGCTCTGATCTGCCCTCGGGCTGCAGGGCCCTGGAGAAACCGCCCCACGGGAAGCTCTCAGGAGTGGGGGGCGCCGTTGGTGCCAGGCACCATAGGAGGGGGAGATCTCGCATAATTCTCCTGCACGAGTCACGCAGGGCAGCTGACCCAGACGCCTGGAGATCAGCGAACCCAGTGGGCCGAATAAAAACGGGGTTGAAACCATGGAAGTGTCTGCTTGTTTCTTGTAACGGGGAGGCGGCCGAGGGACTTTCCCGGCGCTGCTTGTGGGGGAGGTGGGGGGCTTTGCATGCCCCTGTCAGAACGGGCCATCCCGGGCCAGCCCAGCGTCCTGTCTGCGACTGTGGTGGGTGTCGGACACCACCACGGGAACAAGGAGAACAGGACGGCTAGCGAGGGATCCGCCCTCTGGTCCGGCCCCAGCGGCTGCGCCTCGGTCTCCGTCCCTGCCGGAGGGACACGCACATTGTGACAAATGGGAAAAGCAAACGCCTCCGTGTTTTGGGCGCCGACTCTTACACGCGGTCGGCAGCACACATTGGAGGTTTGGCCGTGGGGCTCGTTCAGTTCAGAAATGCTGCCCCGGCACCTCACTCGGCCAGTCTCATTCGGCCAGGCTCGCTGGCTAGACTACAACTCCCATGATGCAACAGGGCTCCTCCTCTTGGAGAGAGGTGCTGCTTCATGGGAATTCAGTGTCCCCTCCTCCCACTGCTGACTCCATGTTACAGCCAACAATTTTAGTTACTAGTCTCGTCTTGTGTCATGTGATTACGTTACGTCGTGCATGTGCGAATCAGAGTTAATTTGCAGGGGTATGAAAGTATTCGACAGGTCCCTCCCACAGCCCACGCGGCGGGACCTGCTGAGCGAGGCATTAGCCATAACGAGAGGCGCTGAAATGTATGAACTGTAGGTTGCCACCTGCAGGGCCTTAGCTGAGCTCTTAGGCTACGTCTAGACTACAAGCCTCTTTCGAAAAAGAGTGTCTAGATCACAAGCAGATTTTTCGAAAAAGCGAGCCGCTTTTCCAAAGACAGTCTGGAGGCTCTCCAGAGACGAAAACCCTGGTGAAAACCGTTCCCACCATTCGAAAGGCTCCGTGCACAAGTGTGAAAAAGCGGCTCGGTCCCAATTCGGGGGAGATGATGACCCTGCAGAATTGTCAACCCAGTCGCCTGGGACGGGTCGTAAGAGCCCTCCCCAGGCCATTTCCTCGTCTGTTTTCTAAATCGCGTCCCTGGCAAACAGCCTAACAAACGGGCCCCGCACGCACTAACCCCCGCCACACCCCACCGCCTTCGAACCCATTAGATGCCCTCAGCCCAAGCTGGGAAACCAACTGGCTTTTGGCCAGACTCAGGCAACGTGGGTGGTTTGGCTTCGGGAGTTGGCATCCAACCCTCAAGCGCCCGCAGGCCTTTAGAAAGTCGATACACACCAAAGTTGTGGCTGCAATAAAGGGCAGCCAGGACCAGGAGACGTGGAGGGGTTGTGGATTTTTTGGGTAGTAAAACAGCAGATAAGAGCGATAGTAAAAGAATAAGAAATAAAAAAGACCGGCTCCTTCTGGAGCTCCAGCAAAAGGGAGAAACAAACAACGAAACCAACCACCCAAACAACAAGCAAAGCTCTGAACCGACAGGCAGCTCTGAGTCATCTGCCCGCCACGTCAATAATTGTCCGTGAAAACTCGGGGAGACGCAAGAAGCAGCTGCACCGTGTGCAAAGCCGACGTGTTTAACGCGTTTCACAAGCGGCACTAGGGAATGGCCGGGCACTGTCCCAGGACTGGCTCATGTTGCATAAGGGGAAAAGGAAATGAAACAAAACATGCGGCTTAGTGCGGGCTCCAAACAAGAGCCAGGCTCGGTCCTGTTTGCCATTTTGGATCCCTTTGGGATTGGTCCTGCCTTGGGACTTGATGGCTCCTGAGGTCTTGGCCCGTCCTACGATTCTATGATCCTAGCGAGCTTTGGAAGCAGAAGCTGCAAGTGGAAACGGGGGATGGGGGGGGACGGAGAGGGGCGGTTGACTGTGTCCCTTTAAGGAGAAATTTCTGAGGTGCTAATGGCTTGGGGTCCAAAGCTGGCCAGAAAGCCTCCTCGCCGTGGGGGAGGAGAGCCTTGCCCATAAACAGAACTGAAGGGCACTGCAGACCATGAACACGCCTGGTTAGCAAACAAGCTACCGGAAATCAAAAGGCTCCAATTCCGAGCGTACCGGAGGCTTGTTGGACTTGCCGTCCAGCTGGGACAGCGGGCAATAAGGAAGAGCCGGGGCTGGCTCAGTTCGGTGAGAGATGGTTTTGCAACATTGCCAAGAGGAAGTGCTGGGAGTCGGAATCCTGAGTCCCTGCCTGGACCGTACACTCACTCGGGGGGTGCAGGGCCCGGGCCACCCTCCACCCCCACACCCCATCCCGCCTCTTCCCACCCCTGCTCCTCCTTTTCCCTCAGACCCCTCCCCCAAGGGATGCGCCCGGGGCCCTGCCGGGGTCTGGTGCTGGCAGCAGGGGCCAGTCCCCCCATTCCCCATGAGGGAACCCCACAGGCTGGCCTGCACCCCCGAGGCCACCTGAACCGTTCTGCCAGGCTGCTCAGGATACTCTGTCCCCCTGGTGCCCAGTATCACCCGATTCAGGAACAGGTCTCGAGATGGGGAAAGGAAACGAAGAGACGACGAGCAGCCCGGTGGTTCTTCAGAGATGAACCAAACTGCACAGAGAGCACCATGGCCCGGGCTGTGCCCACACCAGCTCATGAGGCTCTCCATCTACTCTTCTTAGTCTCCAAGGGGCTGGGAAGGGGTCCCATACCGGGAGAGATTAGAGAGATGGGGACTTTTCAGTGTGGAAAAGAGGAGACTAAGGGGGGGGACATGAGAGACAGGTCTATAAAATCATGAGTGGTAGGGAAAAAGTGAATAAGGAAAAGTTATTTCCTTGTTCCCGTAACGCAAGAACGAGGGGTCACCAAGTACAATGAATAGGTATCAGGTTGAAAACAACCAAAAGGAAGTTTTTCTTCACTCAGCGCACAGTCAACCTGTGGAACTCCTCGCCAGGGGATGTGGTGAAGGCCAGGACTTTAACAGGGTTCAAAAAAGAGCTCGATAGATTCACGGAGGTTAGGTCTATCAGTGGCTATTAGCCAGGATGGGCAGGGAGGGTGTCCCTAGCCTCTGTTAGCGGCTGGGAATGGACGACGGGGAGGGATCACCGGATAATTCCCTGTTCTGTTCACTCCCTGGCACTGGTGCTGTTGGAAGAGAGGACACGGGGCTGGATGGGCACTTGGTCTGACCCAGCCTGGCCGCTCTCGCGGCCACCGCTCCGAGTTACGGAGGAACGCGGCCACCGCTCCGAGTTACGGAGGAACGCGGCCACCGCTCCGAGTTACGGAGGAACGCGGCCACCGCTCCGAGTTACGGAGGAACGCGGCCACCGCTCCGAGTTACGGAGGAACGCGGCCACCGCTCCGAGTTACGGAGGAACGCGGCCACCGCTCCGAGTTACGGAGGAACGCGGCCACCGCTCCGAGTTACGGAGGAACGCGGCCACCGCTCCGAGTTACGGAGGAACGCGGCCACCGCTCCGAGTTACGGAGGAACGCGGCCACCGCTCCGAGTTACGGAGGAACGCGGCCACCGCTCCGAGTTACGGAGGAACGCGGCCACCGCTCCGAGTTACGGAGGAACGCGGCCACCGCTCCGAGTTACGGAGGAACGCGGCCACCGCTCTGGGACGTTTGCAGAACACGACGTCCGGGAGCATTTCTGTCTGACAAGAAACCACTTATCAACAGCTGGGGCCGTGGCCTCCTCCGTCCTGTCCTGTGCTCCATTATGGGCCCCCTTCCTATTGCGTGTCCGTCCGATCTCCCTCTGGGGCTTGGCTTGTTGCTCTCGGCCCTGGGATTGGGGGTAAACCAGCTGTGGCAGGCGGGGGCTGGCTGGTCCGGGAATTCTGTTGCCACATGTCAGGGCTGGTGAGTAAAGGAATCGGTTACGGTGCAGCTAAGCGGGACCAAGTTTCACTGTCTAAACCTGGGTCCCAAAGGACGTTCTTTGGGGACCGACTCCAGGGATCAGCACCAAACTCAGCTGCCAGGCCTCAGCCCTGGGCCGACGGTGCTGGGCAGGAACTGGAGTGCCCCCGGCTGGCCCGAGGCAAGTTCCTCTGTCTTATGGGCACTGGTGAGCTCTGTGGGCCTAGCAGGGCCCTCTGCGTTTGGAGACTGTTAATAAAAGTGTGTGTGTGGGGGGGAACTATTTCTGGGTCACTGGTGAAAGACCCGGGAACCTGCAGAGCGAGAAGAGCCCTCGAAAGGGGTCAGAGGAGGGCACCCCCAGAGCGTGTGAACCTCAGAGGAGTAACAAGGTGTGGCGTAGTGGGGGGCTGTCTGCTCTGTGACCTGGGGTCCCCCTGCGTGGTGCGATTCCCACTGTCTCACCCACATGTGGATTGGCCATGACGCCTCGCCCCAGCCTGGGCAGTTAGCAAAGCTCTTCCCAGGGGGAGAGGCAAAGGGAGGGAGGCGGAGACGGACACCAGGTGTCAGGGGCAGGGGCATGGCTGGAAAACATGAAGGGAACAACCTGAACTGAAAATGGAGGGTCTGGGTGGGGGGGCGATGGACCCCTAACCTCAGGGCTCTGGGGCATCCTGGCCTTGACTCCTGTAGCCACATCCCGTCTGTGCTGGGCTGTGCCCTGGAGAAGCAATAAACCCCCCCTTCCACTGGCTGGAGAAGTCTGTTCTTGCAGCTACGGGTCTGCAGGACCAGGGGGACCCCGACTCGGCGTCACACAAGGGTAACACAGCGATTCCCTAGCGACCCTTCCCCAGGCGGGTGCAACCTCACAGGCAAGAGGCCCAGTCAGATGCGACGCCTCGAATTGGGGCGGGTAAGACCTGACCCCAGTGCCCAGCACCCAGGCGCAGGAGGAGGAAGTCACCAAGCTGTTTTGGGAGTGGGAGGGGAGCAGAGTAATGGAGCCAACACTGGGGCCACCCTCTTTCCTTGGGACGGTTTCCCTGGAGCCCCGTTTGGTGCCACGGCCGTGGGAGCCAATAGCAGCAGATCCCTCGCCGCACCATTCAGCTCCACTCCACGGGGTCGATTGGCTTTGCTGCGGCGCTTCCATCCTCTAATGACCTGGCTCAACACCTCTGCTGTGTAAACAGTCGCACCTCTCCCCTGAGTAACCCCTCACCTCTTATCTCGGGCAGAAACCGGCAGAGGTTGTAAAACACAAGCTGATGGGTAGAAAAAGAGCCAGTCTGGATTGCACCTAAGGAGGGAGCGCCCGGGCACCAGGAGTGTGAAATTTATTGTGTTTCAGTAAATCATTCACTCCTGCCTGGGTTGGATTCAATGTTTGGGCGGTATAGAAAGGAAAGGGACGTGCTGGCTGGCTTAGTGTGTCTCTTCCATGTGAGAGAGAAGTCGGAGGGAACACGACCACCGTGCGGCTGACGGTAAGAGGTTCTAAGCCATGGCCAACGAAGCCCGTAAAGGATGGCAAGCCGCTGTGTGCGCCAGCTCGTCTTGCCAACCCAGCGGCGCTGAGAGAGCCGGGCCGAAGCGCCGCAACAACGAACGTGGGTGAACCAAGGAGGGAGATTTTCAAAGGCAAAACCGGCAGCGCGGCGGCCAGTGTCCAATGCATCTCGCTGGGAGCCGGGTCTCCAAGTCCCTTCGGTTGCTTTGAACGCCCCCGGGCGAGGGAGCAGAGAAGGACCCATGGATGGAGCAGGTCTGGGCTGTCAGAAAGTCTGCGGCCGCCCCCTACCCTGGGCAGTTCTGGGGAGGGCGGGAAGGGCCAGGCTGCCATGGAGGAGGAACAGGACAGCAGCTAGAAGGGAGGCGATGGACGGGCTGCCATGGAGGAGAAACTGGATAGCAGCCAGAAAATGGAGCCGTTTGTGGCGCTGTGGTAGCCGGGTGGTGCCAGGGTATTAGACAAACATGGTGGGGAAGGAAAAGCTTTAATCAGACCAACTTCTGCTGCGAAGAGGCACAAGCCCCCAAGCTCTGTGGCAGGAGAACAGAGCAGGATCTGGGGGCCATGTTTTGGGCTGGCCAAGCGGGCGTGTGGGGCGTGGGGCCAGCAAACAGCTGCTCTGATTCCCTCGCTCGAGGGACCCGACGGAGCGCCTGCCTGAGGGGCGAGGGAGGAGGGGAAGGAACGCAGAGGGAGAGGTCAGCTAGGGGGCTAACGGGCCACGTCAGGGGAAGTTCCTTCTGGACCCCTGCGAGGTGACATGTCGGCAGGGGCTGGGCGGGTTTGGAGCCCCCCGAGACCGGACGGGCTCTGACTGCGCCGTGCGGATCCAGGGACGGGACGGAGAGTCCCTGTCGGAGGGTCAGTGGGCCCCTCGGCTCGCTGCGCCTCCACAGGAGAAAAGCCAACAAGCCGCTGGGGAAGGAGACCATGTGGAAAACCCTGGAGTGTCCATCCTCAGAGCAGCAGGGAGCTCGGGCCCGGGCGCACCCCGGGCAGCACCGGTCGCCGCATTTCAGGAGGGACAGTGCAGCTCCAGAGCACAGAGGGGTGAGGGAGTTGAAAACTGGGACCCCCGGAGATCCCAGCAGTCGGACTGGGACCTGCGAGTCCCGCTGGGGAAGGAGACCATGTGGAAAACCCTGGAGTGTCCATCCTCAGAGCAGCAGGGAGCTCGGGCCCGGGCGCACCCCGGGCAGCACCGGTCGCCGCATTTCAGGAGGGACAGTGCAGCTCCAGAGCACAGAGGGGTGAGGGAGTTGAAAACTGGGACCCCCGGAGATCCCAGCAGTCGGACTGGGACCTGCGAGTCCCATAGGACCTGTCACCAACATAGCGGAGAGGGTGAAATGTGCTTTCTGCAGGTGCGACGGGGGTAAGAAAGCCGACTGCGGTAACACGGGGAGCCACTAGGCAGCAGCTTGTGCTAAGCAGCGTTTCAGCACCACAAGGCACGTTCTGATTTGAAACCAAGGGTTGACTAGAAAGAGACTTGCCCTCTGGTCTCACGATTTCAGCAAGATTTGTTTTATACTTTTTGTAGACACCAGGTCTGGCTTCGGTCTCCGTGCAGCCTGTATTAACCAATGGGGTTTTCTTTGGGTAGCAGCAGGAAGGAAAAGCTCTCTTGTGGGATCTGTGGGATCTAGGCTTTTGTTGGGGCGAGAGGATCGCAAACACAATGTGGGAGTGGGATTAAAAACCCATCCACATGCGGGGATCCAACCAGAGCTCCCACCCTGGTACGTCCGGGGCACGACGGAGCGGAGAGACATTCTCGCCCCAAAACTTTTCTCCACCAAAAAGGTGTCGCGTTGGGGAGACTGACCGGTTCCACGCAGTTGTGTTAATTTTGCCACGCTGCTGTGGGAGCAAAAGGAAATCCCAGCTGATATCTGGAAAAAATGGAACCGCTTTGTCGTCACACCGCCGGGACGAAACGTTTTGACCTTTTTCAACTCAACGTGTCATTTCAAAGCGGACGGAAATGTTTCTATTTAAAGAGTTTACATGATTTTTCAACCCAAGCTCATTTGCATTCGACTTTTCAGCCAGACGAGAATTCTGGCTCAACCAATAGCTATTATTTCCTGATCTTTTAGACTGGCCACGGCCTACAAAAGTGGTTATTTACACAGCTCAGTTATCTGCTGGTAAACCTCCTCCCCCCCCATCTCGCTGTTAATTCCCTTTCCTGTCAAATTTTGTCGTGACTCTCTCCCCTCCGGCAGAGCTCGCTGCGCCAGCCGTGAGAAGGCTCCGTTCAGCTCCCAGCCCGGCCCCGGCCTCCTCCCAGCACCATGGGGGTTTCCTCGCTCCTCTGCCTCCTCCCTGCTCTCCTAGCGACAGCCAGTGCCCAAGGTGAGTCATGCGCAGCTGTAGCCACTTAACCCTCCTGGAGACTTGGACCCCATGCGCCCCTCGGCTCCCCAATCAGGGCCCCTCGCACACATGCAGGGCGCTGGGACTAGCCCTGGGGGCACAAGGGCCTGTCCACACGGCGGTTATGGCAGCGG